AGAATGTAGTGGTTACAAAATGTGAATTAGTTAGCATGATTTCCCCATACTTGGTGTACAATTTAGTCATGCTGCTTAATGATGTTTTATGGATTATTGGTAAAGATTAGAGATTATGTAAACAAGTGCCCAGGAAATTACTGTATCCAAAATACAACAACCTTTATTCTGTTCCTGATAAATTCCATTTCTCCTTTTTATATAGCCCCTTTCCTCTCACAAGTAGGTAAATTCCATGTGAAAGCAATGAATCTTATCCAATGAATCTTCATATACTTGACATCCACCCTAATGTCTCAGTCAAACATGTTGTTAAACTCCAGATGACTCTGCGTTTTGCTTGTGATAGAAAAAGAAGTGCCAAAATATTACTATCCAAGCCCCACTATTGCCTCACTTTTCACAGAAAACCATCAAACTGTATTTCTCCCATTAAAGAGATTATATCAGGAATGTTTGTTATCAAGGTGCTACCTTTGCAGTTTGCACTGGATTAGACAGAACTTCAAAGCCTTGAAACCCTGTCTCCAGCAGGTATAAGTTGAACATGTAAATTACATCAGTCTGAGGCCAGGACCTAAAGAAGACCAGGAACTACATCTGTTTCCTAAATGAAGTTAAGCCAGTAATGCCTTTCCTTCCTGTGTTGTCTTTAAATTTGTCAGAGGCATTTTATTTCAGAATTTAGTTTTTACATAATGCAGACCAGTAATAGCCCAGAGAAGTAAATACATAAAGATGAGTAGCTAGCAACCTCCTACTCCTATGTTGCCTCCTAAAGAATATGAGCTGCCTTCCTACCTACTAGACCACTTTCCAGGGAACAGTTGTAAGTGTCACGAGGCAGACCTGCTGTGTGTGTCCCAGGTCCTCAGCCAAGAGTTGGTGATAAACCTGTGAAAAAGCTAGTATGCATCTTACCACTGAGTTTGAGAACCATAACAGACCTGGCAAACACATGTTGTTGAATGTTGAATTTTTTTTTATTATCACGTATAAATTATCAAATGTTAAATGTCTCTGTGCAATGGAAAGTCATAGCCCATAAAGGGATTGGAGTAAGGTAAGTTTAAAACAGCGAAACCTCCTTTTTTGAACATAGTCTTAAAAATGGCTTGTCTCCTAGATAATTAAATCCCATGTACATCATGTCAACCTTCTCTCCCTGACATCAGCCACTTGTTACATAGACAGTGTCTTGGAAATGTACCTGTGCCTATTGCTATAGCAACACTCTAAGAATGACCTCAGCAGCCACTCAGAATCATTCCTGCAAAACAAACTATGGCTATAATTAACTCCCTGAATTTACCCTGCAGTATAAATTTGTTCAGACCTTGGTGTTTCTTTTTAAAAGGTGAAATGAATAATCCAGTGAACTCCCCTCCGTGAAATACTTTAATGGAAGGTACAGTTCAGAGGTTTTTCTATATTACCTTTTCTCAAGTGTGTCAAACATTAACAAATGAGAGGATGTGCTAGTCTTACCATGCCAGAACGCCATCTCTAAGGGAACAGAGTGGCTTTTTTTCCTCTCAGCAAATGTGAAATACAGAAAGTACTGGGAGGATGAACTGGGCCCTTTGAGCCCAGGGCAGGGAGAGCAGGTGGAATTGCTGATTCTGCAAGCAAATTCTCTCCACATCAGTCCCTCTTTGGCAATGAAAAATGATAGTTCTTCGTCATCTCCACACTGTACCTGCTTCACAAATTACATCTTCAATCTTGTGTAGCTACCCAGATTTTGCACTGGAAGAAAAGTAGTTTGTATGTCTTTTGATTGGTTGAGGAGTCTGTTGTTTTGTTTTTCTTTGCCTTGTTTTGGAGTGTGTCGTAGATGTTGTATACTGTAAATAGCAGAGTTGGGTGCAATTCCTTTCAGAAAGCCTTTTTGTTAAAAATTCAAACTTTTTACACCAAGTGAAGTGTTTTTCTCTTCACCATGCAACTGAGGGAAAGGAAAAAAGAATGTCAAGCAGGAACTGACACTCGCTTTCAATTTAATCAGAAGTATTTGGAACATCCTTAAAGAACATTGCCTTGCAGTGAAGTATATTGGTACCATGACAGTGAACAGAGCCTGTGAAGCTGCATATACTCAGTGTTGTTATTCTGTATGAACTATACTGCCATTGAAAATGCGTACAAGAGAAAGAGAAAAATATTCTTAATGTCTGAGTAGGACACTAAATTCATGGAGAGATACCATTGGCAATTTTTTAAAAGTCGCTTCTAACTCCTTATAAATGGTTTTTCAGTTGCAGGTGTGCACCTGGATTTCATCTTATCCAAGTATGTTTCTCAGAGAGCTTAGTGCATCCTTCTAGCTATCAGTGCTCCTGCTGTGCAGTTTAACAATTAATCTCCCACCTCACATGCTTCCCCCCCCCCCCAAGGATTGAACCCATGGCCTCACCTGAAGTAAATCCCAGCCTCCTACCCCACTTTGTGGTTCTAGAAATTGAACCCAGGGACTTTGTATGGAGCTACATCTCCAGCCCACCCCACCCCACCTCCACACACACAGGATCTTGCTTAGTGGCTCAGGTTGGGCTCAAACTTGTGATCCTCCTGCATCCCTCCACCTCGAATTTCAGCAAGTGCCACCATGCTCAGCAGCATGTGCTGCTTCATTAAACTCTTGCAGGCACATATCTGTTTTTAAATGGAATGTCAGTGAGTAATCTGCTCGGTTCATCTTCAGGATGCAGAAAGCTACAATTTCCCTTTATCTCACAGTACCTTGTATTAGCAGTCCTCCATTCTTAACTTTTGTGTATGGCAGTAAGTGAATAGAAGTGGGCAGTGTATTTTCTGAGCCTGTTTGCCAGTGTAATTTTTAAAATTTTTTCTCCACCTGACTTAAGTTCTTGTGTATAATAGTTAAATTAATGATGATTTTACAGATTTCAGAATGTATGTTTAGGTTTTTCAAATGAAGGTACCGATACATCAGAAAACTCTATCCATATAGAGTAGCCAGTTGACTTTGTATATATGATGTGATGGGCTTGGTTTACCCATAGAATGGAATGTAGATAAACTCCCAGAGCATGGGCTTATTAACCTTATCAGACAACTCCTAGACTGTGCCAAATAATTTACTAAACTCTTGGATGTATTTGTGTTTGTGCATTCTCTCAGCTGATTCCAGTTAGTCAGTAGAGCGCTGCCAGCTAGAAAATCACTCGTGTCTGGGATAAGACCTCTGCAGTATGAATTATTCAATTTGTACTAGCAATTTCTAGGCTGATACATTTTTGTCTTAAAAAGACTGATACAGTACCAAAGAGGCAGTAAATTTATTTCTTTCTTAAAGTCAGACTTAGCACTATTAATTTATGATTCCACAAATCTTACAGACTTAGCATATTTCCCCTTAACACACAAGTCTCAAATTTAAGCAAATATTAGTATGGAAATACCACTAGTAAGAACAGAATTTAATGCTGCAACTAAAACACAGTGTAGCAAATCCATCCACCCAGCAAATGTTCATTAGGTACTGTTTGCTTGGCACTAAGGCAGAAATAAAAATGACTAAGACAAAACTTTTACCCTAGGTAGATCACATCGACTGAGTACAGTATCTGTGGTATTGGTGATTGTATTTGCTGTGTACCAGCGTTCCCTGTTACTTATCTTAGAATTCACTCACTTGTTTATGGTCCTAAAGGAGCTGAGTACTGTATCTGACTCCTTCCATTTTAATAATGGTTCAATGTCTTCTCTAAACCTTAGTCACAAGTTAGTCACTTTGTGTATACACAGTTGTGTGTTTTGAAACATGTCTTTGTTCCATCTTCTCCAGGGCAGAGGAGAGCATCTTGGAAATCATAAAGATAGCAATCAAAACATCATTTTCACCTGGTTGTCGTCAATCCTATCAAATTATGTCATTTTTAGCATTGTAAATTATGCTTTACACTTTGAAAGATTAAAAAGTAAATAGAAGATTTTGAAAATACAAAATTATACTGATGTGGAGCACAAGTGGTTGCCAAGGGTTCAGGTTGGCAGGTGCAACAAGGCAGTTTCTTTGTAAGATTGAATAGTTCCCTTGATTGTAATGTTGATTGCATGAATCTCTACATGTGATACAATCTCAGAACTAAATACTGCTCCAAATATATATGCATACATGTATATCCATGTGGATATATGCATACATATATACATATGTGCATATAGGTGAACTCAAAATGAGGTCTATAATGTAGCTAATAGTATTATATTATTCTTCATTTCCTGATTTTGTAAGATGTCATCATTAGGGGAAGCTGGGAGAAGGATACAGGAAAATTCTCTGTAATATTTTTGCTACTTCTTGTGAGTCTAAATTATTTCAAAATAAAAAGTTTTTTTAAAGAGGACAGAAAAATATCATGACCAGAGATGTTTCAAGTTAACTTGTGAACCTCAACATTGAGAATATCTGACCTTATATTATTACTATAATAACTAGAAATTTTGTGGCTTTACTTTAATCATGAATGACTTAGGCTTTGGATAGAATTTGGGACAGAGTATTCTGCTATCTTCTCTTAGGGGAATAAGGAAATTCATTCCAGGAAAAGACAGCAACGTTCTGCAAAAAAGAAACACCCTGACCTTACGTGTAACTTTGCAATCTGTTTATTTATACAAATTAAGTATGTATAAATAATTTAGAACCATTTGTTTTAAACTCCTGCTTTACCAACCAGACCTACTAAATGAGTAGTGTAGGAGACTACATAATTTGAATTTCTTAACCTTTACTTTTTGAATAGGTTCTAATTGATAGACAAAAAATGAGAGATGTAGTGAATAAATTAACCATAGAGTGATAACCTGCTTCTGAGTAATGGAAGGTTGGCTTTATCTTTGTTTCCCAAACTTCTCTTACCTCTTTCTCATATTTTTTTCTTCATTTCTCTTATGATTCATTTTGCCCTTCTGTTTCCATGGATTTGGCGTGATGATGTCACTGACATTCTCATTGTATTGTTCCTCTCTAGCTATCTGAATGACTTGGACCGCGTAGCTGACCCTTCCTACCTGCCTACGCAACAAGATGTGCTTAGAGTTCGAGTCCCCACAACAGGAATCATTGAATACCCTTTTGACTTACAAAGTGTCATTTTCAGGTAGGAACTGAATCCATAAGACCTACTTTTTCTGTTTTTATGCCTTGAGTGCATTTGATGAACTCTATAAATATTGAGATCATGTGTAGGGTTTAAAATGACATAGCCTTACGTGAGTTATTATCATTGGAAACACAAATGAAATAATATATCCCAGAAAGAGGAAGCAGAAAAAGGATATACTGGGGGATTTCTCATCAATTTAACTTATCAAGCAATTAATGAAACCTTAGTTTGTTGGTGGTTAAGCAAAATCAGTTACTCAAACATCGGTCCTAATTATGTTTCTTTAATCATTTAACTATAGGGACAATGGGTATATTTTATAATTTCATAAAATACGATCTTAATACCCTATCATAGTAGAATTTATATGTTTTTAGAAGCTTTCATGTTAATATTTCCTCCATATTACCTGGCACCAATGAAAAATTTTTCAGTAGCAATAAAACCAAGTTTCTTGAATTTTTTTCAAAATTCATGATTTTGAAAATGAGCTAATTATCCTACTCTATGTAGCAAAATAGGATGAAAACATAGTACCCCCTTTTTCACTGCTACTGTTCTGTCTGAATAATACTTCAACAGAACTGTTCTATTTTTTTCCTAAGATGAGAAAAAGTCAAAATACTGCTGTACTTCTATTTAGTCTCTTATTACACAATCATTCAGTTGTACTGTTAGGAAACAGGACACATGGTGCGCTAAGGAATGAACCCAGGTGAGTCTGTATTTGAGTTGAGTGTAAACACCCAAGAGAGCCTACTTGCTGAATATAGATGTGTACAATACCAGATTGTGAAGTAAGAGTTACTCAGCAACTTCTCTTTAACTTTGTGTGACTGTTTAATCGGCACTCCATCATTTCTTGCCAAAGCACCATTTTTTTAATCATCCCCTGCCCTTGTGGGCAATCTGTTACTCGCTGCTCTAAAAGATACGACCTTAAAATGGGTGGAATTTTGAAAATGTTCATGAGCCTCAATTTATTCATCTGTAAAATGGTTGTAGCTCTGGCCTGCTGTACTTACAGCAGTTGATAACATTTAGAGATCTTAAATTTGAGACACCCAAACTCTTTTCCTTTTACAACCATATTACATGATATTTTCAGAATTCACATAGCATTTTATGGTGACTTTCACATTCCTATAGCTTCACAATTAGTTCGGAAACTAGATTAGTATTACATCTTACTTTCTCTGCATTTTGTGCACCAGCTTTTGAAGGATATTTTTTGTCATTACAGTAAAAGCATGATTTCCTACTGCCATCAGAAGTGTCCTATGGGGTCCTTTGTGACAGGATTTCATAGAACAAGGAGTTTCTGTAAATGGCAGTATTTTATGCACATGAGAACATTAGAAAAGAGCCAGCATTTTAGTATTTCTCAAGACTTAAGAATTCCAGTTTTGATGTCTGCAGTTCTCTTTGGAACTATCATTTTGCCCCTCAGATTTCTCTTTTGTGCATTTGAAGCCTTTTAGAAGCAGTTACTATAAGCTGCTTAGGTTCTTAGTTTGGGCTTAATTCTGTTAGACAGGAAAACACCAACAGCAACTGTCAGTTTTCAACAGATGCCTAAAGAGGCTTACTCTAAACTTTTCTGGTTAAACCTCTCATTCTGATTGTTCTTTCCTGTGAACGTGTACATTTCAGTGAAGCAACAGATTCAACAATTTAAAGAAATTTTGATTCTAGGCACTGTTAGATAATTTCACATGCACACACACACACATATATGAAATCATTCACATTTTTTGATGTCTGAGTGAACTAGACAATGAATTGATGTGTTAAAAAACAAATGACAGCCTCTGTGTGGCGTCTCTCTCTCTCTTTCGTTTCTATTTTTGAGATGGAGTCTGGCTATCTAGTTGAGGCTGGCCTTCAACTCACAGTGATCCTCCTGCCTCAGCCTCCCAAGTGCTAGGATTACAGGTGTGCACCACCACACCTGGCTATCTTCTAGCATCTTGATATCTTTATACCATGCTTCATTTCTAGCACATTAGCAAGTTGGTTTGTGCACAAAGCTTATTATACCAACTTCCTTGACATGGCTGGGCCTGTCTTAAATTATCAATACTGGGAGGAGAAAAAAGCTGAAAATATTTACTGTACTAATGAAGAATAAGTAGGGTCCACTTTGCATTTAGTTGAAGCATCATATGCTACTGAGATGTATAGCATCTTACGTCTTTTCAATGTAATCATTCCTTTTATCTTCAAGAAATACATGAGTATCTTCTGCTTTTATGGGAAAGGTTTAGGATTTGTCATTATGGTTTAACACAAAAAAGACTCATTTTTGTTCTTGACTCTTTGGTGCTTAATTAAATGAAATACTATCTTGTGTGGCATAGATAAGGATCTTGTTTACAAAATTATAATTTTATAATTTATTACCCAGAATGTATTGATTTTCTGTAGGTAACAGAAAATTAGTAGATAGTCAAATACTGTATTAATTAATTTAGAGAACCATTGACTTTCAAGAGAATTTTTTCAAAAGTGTGTAAGTAGTGCTGTATTTATATTGATGTTTTAAAGTTTTTCTTTACATATCATTAATATGAGTATTGTTAACCTTGCAGAATGGTCGATGTAGGAGGCCAACGATCAGAGAGAAGAAAATGGATACACTGCTTTGAAAATGTCACTTCAATCATGTTTCTAGTAGCACTTAGTGAATATGATCAAGTTCTCGTGGAGTCAGACAATGAGGTAAGTGCTCTTCAGACAGGCAATGAATTATCATTTTATTATTGGCTAGAAATAAATGACAGGAAGTATGGTGTGAGGAGTGAGGTATGTAATTTTGTCTCTACTACGGAGGGACTTCATTGCTTTTTGACAGTTAATTTTAGGACTTTTTAAATAATGAAAGATAATCCTATGGAACCACATGATATACTTAGAGTGATAAGCTTTTCTGTCAGATATTTGAGCAGCTCTGTGCGCTCAGATCTAATTAGATCCTGTTTGATACTTTTAACACGGTGCAGAGGTTCTGAAAATGAAAATAACGTAGAAGTCCTATGGCTGATCACTAGTTCATTTCATAGCTTTCTTCCTAAAGGATAGAATCAGGAGTGAGTCACTCTATTTTGTTTTGTTTTGATTTTCTTTAAATCATTGTGTGATGAGTGGGTCCCAAAGAGTACTGAGAACTTCTTTTGGCAAATGAGTAACTGCAGCTGCGTTCCAAATCACTTCACGAGGGAGCCACAGAAGGTGTTGGTGACATGGCCTTTCTACTCTTAGAGAATTCTATAGTCTATTTTGTAGTTTTCTCTCTACCGAGCACAGAGCAATTGAAGAATTGTTCTCAACATGCCTGTCTGGAGAACTCATTCAGTGGTGCGATCTCCTTCCCATTGCATAGAGCCTTCACGGGTATAAATGTGGATTTTGTGGATGGTAAAGGCTTGATAATGAGTCAGATTTGATTGTGGAAGATAATTAAGGGGTGTAGAAAACTGTGTTTTTGAGCTAGAGTTGCACGCATGTGTCAGAATGAAGACAGTAACATTGTTGATCCTGTTAGCAGTGAAGCTTGCAGACTGCTATCTCAGTATGTATTAAATATGCCCTTCATGAGGTGGAAGACACAAGGAAGTTAATATCTTCAGTAGCTGGTTAAATAAAATCTGACATATTAAAATATACTTTAAGCACTGTGCATTTTTTGAATTCATATAAATTCCTGACGTTTTAAGTCTTTAAAAAATATTTTTGCTTATTTTTTTTGTAGGTCTTAATAGCTCCATTAAAATTCATATCCAATCCCCTATAGCATTTCTTTTATCCATAGGAATAACGAAGTTCCTATGAACCAGTATCGCTTATAGAGTTGATGATTACCATTTGTGAGTTTCTATATCCTTCCTGGTTCGCCAGCATTTGAGTCAGCCAGATAGCTTCTTTTTGAGAGTGAGGCTTGTTTATCAGCTATTTTCTCCTGTAACTGTAAAGCAGAATGCCTCTAAAACATGCTAAAATCGGGCCAGAGATTTAGCTCAGTGGTGCCGCCACCTGCCTCACAAGTGCAAGGTCCTAAGTTCTATCTCTGGTATCAAAAACAAAAGCAAAAAAACCATGCTAAAATATATGACAATCAGTTACCAAAATATGTTAAGCAACTGCTATTAGAATTTTAGTTAGGATATCTCTATTTTTGTGCCTGTATCTTGTTCCATAATCCTTGAATGTTGCATTTTGAATATATTACATATTTTGCAAGCAGGCTTATTGTAAAATTTCTGAAAATACTTTGACAGCTCGCCTACTGTATTATGGGCACTGTGGTGTCTAAAAAGTTTTTAAAATGGCGAGATTAACTTTTCCCTAAACACCCTTACAAAGGCCTTTGGCAGAATAAATCATATGAGGAAAAGAAAGCCTCTATTACGTAGATCACCTTTTCTCTTTTTTTCTTTGCACGCACACGTGCATCCATGTGTGTGTTATTGGGGATTGAACCCAGGGCCTTGCACGTGCTAGGTCAATGCTCTACTGCCAACTACATACCCATCCCTTTTTTTTTTTTTAATTAAATTTTTTTATTGGTACATTGTAGGTATACGGCACAATTACATTTCTCATTGGGAATTGTACCTTTACATAATGCATCTTGGCTCTTATATTTTCCCCATTCCTAGCCCTCCCCTTACCCCCTCCACCCTTCCCTATTTACAAAGACTTTATTTCCATTTTTTCCATTTCTCAGCATTTTTTCTTTCCCTTCTTTCCTTTCCCTTGCCCCTCCCACTACCCCTACCCCTTTGGACCTTTTCTTCCTATTTT